TGACCAGACTGTTCTTGTATGGGATAAACGGACAACTCAGCTACTTGAAGAATTGAAGGGCCATGAAGCACAGGTTTTACACCCCATGCTTTCATAAAAGGTGTTATTTATCAGTGTTGCTTTCTTAGAGATACTTTTGCTGTGCCAGAACAGAACATTGGATTCTTTATTTTGTAAAAGCAAAATTATATATACTTAGGCAGCTGCATAATATGAAGTAGTGTTTTAAAAAGCACTGCACGGGTGATAGACTTTGTCTTAGCAATGTTACGCAGAGCATTGGCAATAAAAAGCAGTGTCAGATTGAGAAAAATATTTAAGCAGCAATGGGTAGCCTTGCATGTACGGAATTTTTTTTGAAGACACTAGTGACAGAGGAGGTACCTGGACAGATTGGAGTAGATGATATTGAGCCTTGAACTAGGATTATCCCTCATGTTGGACATATATAGAATCACACTTGAGGTAAGTTATGCGAGTCAGATCCAGAGGCGTGAATTAGGTAAGAAGACTGTGGGGGTTTGACGTGCATCTTCCAATATCAATCTTTGGTGTGTCCCTACTGACTACAGTAGTCACACTAAGGTTTATGGCGGTGCTGTATCCATTATGGGAGGTTAGTGAGTGTGGGCACGGGAGGTTACCTTGGTTAATATGCATGGGCATAGGGTAAGACAGTGTTCAACATTCCCATCCAGATGACTGAATTGAGATACCGAAACATGTCTATCTTAGGCACTAGATAGGAATCAATCCTAACCTCCAATTCTGTCACCCGGCCACTGAAACAACATTCCTTGTATTTAGTCTTAGTCCTACTTGAGAGTTTAGACATTTAGACTCGAGGGAAAGGCGTCATAGCTCCAACTTGTCATTTAGCCCGTTGTGGGTATGGTCGATAAGTAGTGAGCACAATATCATGACCAAAAAGCATGCACCAAGGGACCACCCCTTGAACTCCCAGGACGTTCATCCCCTTGACCCCTTGACAGCGACAACAATAACCAAGCCTTGATCTGAATTCAATGGGATCGGCTACATGAACAGATAAAAATCTCCAAAGTTATTCACTGGTGTCCTCTTTTTTATCCTTCTCTATCATGAACTGCGTGCTCATTAACTCCTACCACTCTGATATCCATTTCACCTTATCTTGCTGAAGAATTCTGATGCTTAGTCATGGTCATGAGCCATGTAGGTCAGCTGTGTGTGCACGTTGTCAGGTGAACGGGTTCTTTCAGCTGCTCATGATGGGACTGTAAAGATGTGGGATGTGAGAACAGATACATGTGTTGCTACTGTTGGACGCTATCCAGGTGCTGTTCTTTGTATGGAATATGATGATTCAACTGGAATTTTGGCTGCTGCAGGAAGAGATGTGTATGTTGCTTAAAGTTTTTACGATGTTATGATTGGTTTTCTCTCAATTATTTTCTTATTCCGTATTGTTCATTCCATATAATCATTAGAGAGTATATGTATTTTTCTTAACAAAACTTTTGGCGCTGCTAACGTTTTTTAAAGGGTTGCAAACATTTGGGACATCCGTGCTGGAAGGTTGATGCACAAGCTAACAGGTCACAAAAGATGGATTAGGTCAGCTTAAAATTTCCACTATTTCTTACTTGCAGTTAAGTATCCCATTGATTGTTATTGGATAGTAAATTGCCAAAACAGGTCAATTAGAATGGTTGGTGACACGGTGATTACTGGGAGTGATGATTGGACTGCACGAATGTGGTCTGTCTCTAGAGGGGCATGTGATGCTGTTCTAGCTTGCCATGCTGGGACAATCTTATGTGTGGAGTATTCTATGCAAGATAAGGGGATAATAACAGGTTACCCATTTCTGCCCCACTTCTTGATCTGTCTTTCAATAGATGATGTTAGAAGATTTATTACATGTAAATTGTACTATCATAATTTTAAGGTTCGATGAGTTTACCTTCTAAAGTGAGATGATAAATTTTCAGGTTCATCTGATGGCCTTCTCAGATTCTGGGAAAATGATGATGGTATGAGTGGCATAACTCTTTTCACATTTACTTTTTTTTTTTTGATATCTCTGATGTCAAACTAAGAATCTTTTGCCTCATTTAGTGGACAAAATCTAGTGTGGAAATGAAAAACGTGTACTTGTCTAGTTGTCTTCATAATTCCAATGTTGTGTTCAACTCTTCCTTTGATCCACTAACACGATATCATTCGCAAAAAACATACATCACGGGATTGCATCTTGTATATTCCTAGTGAAATAATGTATAACAGTTGCAAACAAGAGTGAGCTTAACGTCAATCCTCAGTGCAACACTATCAACAACAACAACAAAGCCTTATCCCACTAGGTGGAGTCAGCTACATGGATTGAACGACATCAGTCACGTATCATATATGCAGCGACATCATTCACGCAGAGATCACCCTTAACCACTTTGTGCCAAGTTTTCTTAGGTCTACCCCTTCTTCTAGCCACATGTTTGTTTTCCATTTGATCCACCCTTCTCACTCTGGGCCTTCTCTCTGCATGTCCAAACCACCTAAGATGTGCTCCCACTATTTTTAAAACACTAGGTGCCGCTCCAACTTTTGCACTTAGATTTTCATTTCTTATTCTATCCATGCGTGCATGACCACTCATCCATCAGATCATCTTCATTTCGGCCACACTCACCTTGTGTTCATGTTCATCTTCTGCTTCCCAACAATATAGTTGGTCTAATTGCACTATGATAAAACTTTCTCTTGAATTTTAAAGGTACATTTTTCACATATAAAGCCCGAGGCACTCCGCCACTTCGACCAACCTGTTTGAATCCTGTGGTTCACATTATTCTCTATTTCTCCATGATAGAAAAATCATTTATCACCCACTTCACAAGTTCAAATATGTGTTTTAGATTCTCCGACCTCTCGGTACATTTTTTTACTAAGTCCATATAATTTACTGGTACACATATGGACCTACAGTCAACAAATGTTTTGACATTATCTTCTTTTACTGTGTTGTTAAACATTATGTGCATTTTATTTTTATGCTTGCTAGAATGTTTTAGCTTTCCTCTTTCTCGAGTTCCTTTGAGTTAATAATGGCATTTCACAGTAAATCGTGTACTCTGCATGCCCCAACCCTCCAAGTGTAAGATTTATACATGAAATCTATAACTCCAAGTGATCTGTCATAATGCATAGGTGGTATAAGATGCGTGAAGAATGTTACGACTCATACTGGCTCCATACTATCCATAAATGCTGGAGAACACTGGCTAGGAGTAGGAGCTTCTGATAATTCAATGTCTCTCTTTCATCGTCCTCAAGAGAGACTTGGTACCGTATCTGCCACTGGTTCTAAGACAGGTGGATGGCAACTCTACAGGACTCCTCAGAAAACCTCTGCAATGGTTTGTTCTTTAGTCTTACATCTCCAGTTTACCACACATTTCATTTTTCTCTTTTTTTTCCAGGTTTTGCTTTATATTGTACCTCTTCACAAATATATTTTTATGCCACGTAATATTTGTGAACTGTTACGCGTTGCCATTTGATAAACGTTAACGGGTTGTGTTTATAGGTACGTTGCATTGCTTCAGATCTTGAAAGGAAAAGGATATGCAGTGGGGGACGCAACGGGTTGCTTAGGTTGTGGGACGCCACAATTAACATCTAAATTCTCTATTGGTTCTGTTTGTGTAAACCTTTGCAAGACGAAGCAGTTTGTATCCTATCCTTGTCACCTTACCTTGATTAATGTGAGGTGCATTCTTTTTTATCTTTCTCATAACAAATATTATTCAAAGAATATATAACTATATTTACTGTAGAACCGTCAAAAAAATTATATATTGTAGAAAGTGTACTCTGTATATTTTCTGATTTTTTGTGTGGAAACAATGAAAAAGCTGATTGGCTAATGAGGAACTAGTTTGAAGATGGGAGTTCAGATTTCTGAGAAATCCTACTGCCCCACAAAAAAAAATCCAAATTTGCTTTTTCATCTGTACCAAAATAATTCACTATTTTTTTTCTTTGGTTTTTAAGAATGTATGATCCAAAATACTTTTTTTCAAATAAATTTTAATCACTCACTCTCAACCATTCGATATATTTTTAACTATTTTCTTAATCTCTGTGTCGAAGTGAACAAATTAATTTCGAACTGAAATAGTTTATTTAGAATTATGTAATTTTTGTAAAAGGTTTCAACAAGTGTGGCCACAAATTGGTACTTTGCCACAAAGAAAAGGACATTAGGAGTACAGTTTATAGTGATTGATTGAATTTATGTTCTGTACAATTAATATAAAAAGAAAAAATAAAACTTAATTGTGGCATACATAACACTGACATGTAGTGGGTGAAAACTGCCTTTACTACAAATTGGAGTATGATATAACCTCCTCCTTCCGTCTCGAAATCTTTACCATATTTCAAAAAAAAAGAGGTGAAATATCAAATTTTTTAAATTCATTTTATTTAAATACTGGTATTAAAATAAAAATAAAATTTGCATACTTAAAAAATACATGAATTTTTTTTGAAATAAATGTTGTCAAAAATACTTTATTTTATTAAATAATCAGTGAAAATGTACAAATAGACAAGTTTCCGTAACTACTGAAAAAGTAAATGTGACCAATATTTTGGAACAAAGGAAGTATGATATACAAAAGATTTTTTTATTAAGATAACTTTTTCAAATGAAATTACTGTGCCCAAAAGATTCCAAACACAACCGAAGAGTTGGTAATCCTACGGTTTACTACTATTAACTGATTGGCTCAACTAAGGCAGGCCAATAGATAGTTGGTTTCGGAGAACCTAAAATTAGATAATGTAAGCTTTGAAATGTTTTTACAGCAGAAGATATGTATGTCCCTAACACGTTTGATGTACACCACAAATTCCCAACTTGGATAGCTGATCCATATGATTTTAAGTGCCGTCAATATGGGACAAAAATAACTAAAATTCAACAAAGATATGTAAAACCAAAGAGTTGAACTTTCCTTACAAAGCTTCGATTCTTGTGATTGCCAAATACAAACAATGATGCTAGAAACCCACTACGGTTTTCTCCATGGATGACAATCACATGTGATTTTATACATTCACAGATGATAATTATCTGTGTTCACAGATGATTACCGCCTGTATGTGTATGAATCATTTGTGATTGTCATAAGCATCCGTGTTGGGTTCCTAACATCTTTGTACAATCAATGATCTAAAAAAATGTCCAGCTATATACATACAATCCTTGATATTCAGGCCGTTTCATACCATATTGATGGCACTTAAACAATGACAAATATATGGGAGTATAACTGTTCCAAAAAGGAAGACAACCCCAAGCCCAATTAAACGTGTCACGTAGAATGCCAGCCGATTCCATCAAACGGAATCACATTGAACAAAAAAATCAGATTTCTGGATGCAGTGATCATTTATGAGATTTTGATATCACCGAAGATCAATGACTTCAAAGTTCAATGTGGAGCTCATATACACATCTGTACAATGTTTATAAATCGGGCTACCATCAACAGGGGGGTCATGGGCATGAAAGCCTCGTCTTGGGCATTGTCTGATTACTGTCATACCACCAGGATTTGTCAACCGGAAAATTCCATGAGATCTACACACACACAAACAAAAACAAAATCATGAGGTTAGGCAACTGAATAGCATTCTTAAAAACGACACGAATGTTTAGCTAAAAGCACAATGAAACTTCACTGAGAATCCAAGATGGGATAAAGCTTTTAAGTTTGGTGGGAGGAAGGTCTGTTAGAAATAACGTGCTTCTTTGCTCACAAGATGTGCCATACTGCCATAATTGTATGATAAAAGCAAACAGAGACCTTATCTTAAAGATTGATAAAGTCGACATTTCGAATACATATCATAAGATGCCTTGGCTCTTCTTTCTACAGGTTGAGGACAGTCGACATACAGGGTTTTCTATACTCCACCAGGGGACTAAAGAAGGGTGTTCCTCAGTCTCCTACTCTCATTGGCTCTTCTTTCTCGGCCATGAATCTCAGAATCTAAACTCAAAGAGGAGAAGGATTTTGCATTGGCTGTGATCACGGAGAGTTATCATCTACGAGCATTGTTTGGTTTACCTATTTACTAGTCTTAAACATATCAGATACGTCATTCAATGAAGACTAAGAGTACGGGTTGGCACTTGGCAGAAACACTGCTTATCTGAATGTTGTAGGGCGGTGCTTGTGAAGAGCATTCTTAAGACTATTCTTGTTTACTCCTTATTTACATCCACTGTTCTTATTTATCTCCCTACTTTTTAATAGTTTTGGAAACCTACTTACTTTTCTATTTTATAAGTTCAGGGAACATTAATTACCTTTTCACTATTCTACCCTTGACAATTAAATACAGTGTACATCGAGAAACATGAAAAGAGAAGGTAAAACATATTGAACTAAAGGGGAAGTGAGTTCATACTAAGGGTGAAAGGGTGTTGTTAAATTCACTCCCTAAATGGCTATATTCACACTTTTAACCTAATTTTGCTAAATCCACACTTTTATAATAATGTGTGTGTATTTAGCAAAATTAGGTGAAGGGTGTGGATTTAGGCATTTAGGGAGTGGATTTAGCAACATCCGGGATGAAATTAGTAAAATGAAATAAGTTGTGCTTAACTTGATCATTCAATGCAAAAACAGTTATGTGTGTTTTGAATAGAAGAAAGATAAATAGAAATGGAGGGTCTATCTTTTTACATCTCATTTCCATCTATCCAACTTCCCTTTTTGGCTCATAAAGACATATGATTATTTTCTTAGCTGCCTCACACTCATACCTGCGGTTAATGGGTACAAACTACATAGCACATAACAATGGTTAAGTGGTATACATTTGTACTAATGCCTATTTGCTTGACATCATTATCAATGTGTTGTAATTTGGTACCCTTTGTGTAGTGAAATGGTATGAGGTATCCAGGATCCTAGTCCGGAACTGAAACCTATGGGTGAAGGCCATAATTCCATCTATCCAACAGTTAGTTGGATCCAGAAACAAGGTTCCACTTTTGACCGGGCATGGTTATTAAGGTCTGCACACACCCTCTCCATACCCTACTTTTGTGAGATTATACTGGGTTGGTGTTGTTGTAAAAGGAAAGTGGAACCTTTTTTGGGTCAAACAAAAAAGCGAATGAAGAACCTATTTCCTGAGAGAAAGGAAGGATACTAAAAAGGTGCATTCTTTTGAGGTTAGAGATGTTTGCTGTTTTGACACCCCACTTCAAGTTCAAATGACTACTCACTCTTTTTTGATGGGCCATAGCCTTTAGGGACCTACTTTGGAACTCGATTGGACCATAGCAGGATTCGTTCCATTGACTTACTTAATTATGACTATATACAGTTGGCTGTTCCTCGCACTATTCTTTAAGGACTTGTATGCTTTTGCTTACCCTTTGCCACCTTTGGCTTCTACTTACAGGCTCACCTAAATCACCTTTCTTGGAGTGCAATTCTTTTTCTCCAATCCCATCAAGGGACCTTTATGTTTTTATCTCTTAATCTCTTCGTGGTTTTAAATATCTTCAATTGAGGGACTAAGGTTTTCATCATCCCCTTCCTTCCCTTTCTGATTTTTTCTTTTAGTTGATAACCTTTCCGTTTTAGAAAAATAACATATGAGATTATCCACCTTGAAGTATCTTTCGGTGCCATGACAATAGCAATAGCTTCCGGTAACATTATCTGCAAATACAAAAAATGAATTAGCCAAAACATGTTGAGCAATAAGATTTTCCACTTGCTTTTCCTTTTTGTCCACTGCCGCTAGGCACTTCCTACATCTCAAAAATCAAAGAAAGAACAAACCTGATATGAGTATTGGGTGTGCACATCAATAGACGACATGAAACATGATTGTGTTGGATGTGTCTGCAAATTGAAGCACAATAGAAGCTTAGTTCTTTTATAATTACAGTGTACGACAGTCAGTGTGCCTACTGCCTACAATCCTACAAACATTTGCAGATACATGCAAACACAGCATTTGCCGACATCATCATCATTAGCATCACTATCAGCACCTTAATCCCAACTAAATCATTCCCATTTACCCAAAAAATCCCAGCTAAATGGAGTCACTGGCATTAAAATTTTTATTGACAATTAATTGTATAAATTTATTTTACGCCATAAATTCATGCAGAAATAGTGGCTATATTTTACGGCATATGCCTTTCTTGTGGAACCCCGCATAAAAAAAGATCTTTCTCATATACCGCACTCTCACCATAATGATTGCCAATAAGTAACAAAAGCATTTCTTACCTCTATGAAAACCAAACAACTAAAATAGTCCATTTAGAAATTATATTCCCTTTGTCACAATTAATGTGTCCTTGTGAAACAAGCCAAGTTAGCAAAGTGATATTTAATTAAGATCAGTCTACCCTACAACCGCAGGTGCAAGAAGTTATGTGTTCGGTAACCACATGTGAGTTGCTTGCTGAGTGTACTTCATTAGCATAGTTTTTTTATGTAAGAGGCAGGCGAGATGTAGTTTTGGAGACAAGATGATGTTTCTTGAGGTGAGAGGTGAGGCGGGCGACCAAAAGGTGAACATGGTTGACAATAGGGATTTGACTCATCTCCTTCAGATTCAGGTGATGTAGGAGTTTTCATCTTCTATTTGTCCGGTTCTAGCTTCTCCATAACCAGCTATTTTAACAAGGTGGCCGTTCCATGCAAATCATCTCATGAACTCATCTTGATGGATTATATCAAATTAGAATGAACTTCTTTAATACTCACAGGATTAATTAATTTGAACCTAGCTTGCAAACAGATTGAGTATTGAGTGCTTCTTCGAGCTTGTTGGGAGATCAAGCTAGGGTAAATTGTGTTGGACAGTGGTGGTGGTGGCTGGTTCTGGTAATGGCGGCTGTGAGTGGTTTTAGGTTTAAGAAGTGGTGATGGTGGAAAGGCTCAAAAGCTAATGGGAAATAAATAGTCCCTCCATCCTACAATATGACTCACCATTTGATGTGGCACCATTATTCAGAAAGATAATACTGCATGGTTGAGATTTACGCATGGGTGAAAGTAATAATATGAACAACATGTTTGTCTTCCATTTGATGTGACAGCTTATCAAAGCTTCAATAGACATTTGATGTGACACCTTATGCTTTACTTGGGCACCTAATAGACATGTTCTCCCTTGTTTGTCTTCCAATCCACATGTTTTCCATGTTGACTTAGAAAGCCTCAATCCCGTCCACGTAACTGCTAGCACATGTCTATATGATATTTGAGGTCAACTTAGCCATTTAGCTTCTTCTTGATCTTCGTGCATATATACATATACATAATAAATACATATAGACACACACACCCACTAATTCTACCAAAGGAGTGAAACGTCATGCCTAAGTAAGGCATCCGTATCATAATATAGTACCAAACTACTAAATAGGAATTTGATTGCAAGCATAACCTAGACACAACTCGAGGCAGGAACCTAGGATTAGATTCGTCACAAGATAAGCTTACATGAATCCAACCAAGGGGGAAAAGTGATTTCTTATCCTGCACTTCAAAAATTTCCTCCTCGTTTGTAGTTTGACACTGAAAAGACATGATAATGTTTCATGAACCAGATGCCGCACAAAACAAAATGCAAAAAGAAAACTGAAAAATAAACAATCAAGCAAATGGAAGCACATATATCTGACTTACTGAATCTGATGTTGACTCTTGTTTAGGGATGATAAGAGCCGTAACATAGAAGATCCTGTTTTTCTGGAAAAAACAGTCTTAAAGTGATAATTACATCAATTAAGTAATAGATATATGAAACGTTGAGTTGATAGACAGACTAGTGATCCTGCAAGAACGCCACAGGTCTCTAAATTGTTGTTTGTGTCTGACTTTGCTAGTTTCATGAAAGTATCCATAAGAGCAGTTGACTATAAAAGAAAGAAGAAAAGAATTAATAAGCCTAGCAATTACACAGAACGCATAATATAATAACAAGAAAACATCTATTTGAAATCCAAAAAATAAGAGAAAAGTTTCTCATGTGCATATTTTGCTATACAAAGATGATGGAGGACAAAAAAGCACATAAAGCGCCAAAAATCTTGAAAGCTGGAGGCAAAGTGAACTCTTTTCTTATTAAATGCAGACTGAGATCATTGTTCCGAGCCATCTTCGGCATTTTCCTGACAAATTTGACCAACATCATGCCTCTCAAATTCGATTGTGACACACCATAAAAAAATACCCTATCTGCTGCCACTTGTGTTACCATCCATTCTAGTGAAAGGAAGAGTCCTAGACTCACTCCAAGTATTCTGTTTGGAGTGAGTCTCTCATTTATCTCCAGCTTCTCCAATCTAAAATAATTAAAGAATCGTTTTAAAAAAATCACTTTATATTATTTAATTAGTTGGAAACAACCTATCTACTTTCAAGTAGGTGTTGGTCTGCGTAGAGCCGTAGACACACCCTCCCGAGACCCTACTCTCTTGGGGTTCTACTCGGCCATTGTTGTATTTTATTTATTTTAGTTCACCAATTCTGAAGTAGAAGAGATATTACAAGAAAGAACAAACTATGTGCTCTATCAATAAGTGAGCCGAATCTGGTGTATCATAATGAATTTTCTTTTTATATTAATATTGATTTGTGTGGATTATGATTGGATAAAACAAAATATAGTATAAAGCATGAAAAATGGGCCAATGATGATCTCGTCATTATACTCCCTTCATCCTACAATTTTCTTGCCATGTTGATTGTTGACCAAGCTTCATGTTTAAGACAACTTATAAATGGCATTGACCTTCCAAAAATACCCATGTGGTGATTTGAACATATACATTGGTGACCCAAGCCCAGCCCCAGGGTCAGACCCGAGATACTGACCACCAGGCCCAACCACCCCAGATGCACAGACCCATGGCCCGGCCCTCCACACCCCATGGCCTGTTGTGGCTAGCCTCTGCCACCTGCCCAGCCTACCTGCGTGAAACACAGTTCTTTGATCCATACCCCAACTCAGCGACAAGTTCCCCCAATGCCAGACCCAACTCAACCCTTGGTTGTTCCCAGTGTAGTAGGGCCAGCAAACTCCTGTCTTCCCGATGGCAAAGACTTCCCCTAAATTTCTTTTTAATCAATTTCAAAGGAGAATCATTTACAACCACTTACCTCATATCATGCGGAGTAGTTTATAGTGAGAGCAAATCTACGGTTTGGGTTTTTACCAAAAGAGAGGACTTACAACCACTCACCTCAAATTGTGAATCTTTTCCACCATGGATCAAGCTGCGACATGTTTCACGTAGAGAGTCTGCTCGTCGCCATCGTTTCGAGGTCTATGGTTTGAAGTGTAAAGTAGATGATGAGATGAGGAGTCTGTTCGTTATCAGAGAGGATTTCCCAATTGAATAATTCGAAATCGTGTGAATTAGGGGTTTAGGGCTAATAGAAGTAAGGGTAAAACTCTCATTGAAATAAAATTCCTTTCCCATTTAAGGTAATGGGAAGATGGTTTTAGGACAGTATAAAAAAGAAAGTGAGAAGATAATTTCAAGATAGACGGAGTGATACCTATTAAAACAACGATAATGGATGAGGCATACAATTAATATTATTAGAAACTGGTGTAGTACAAGCGAGAGATGTAGTTTGGAATGCTAAGTCATAATTGAAAAATAATTTATACGAGAAATTGGACTAGAGAATGAGAGAAAGATCATGTAACTCTCGAGATAGAAAAGATACTAGTTACCTAGGAATGGTGAAAATGCATTAAAGATAATGAGTATCCTAGACTCCTGGTTCAAAATAATAAAGATTTGCATATGCATTTCGTATATTTGGAGAAAGCGTATGATACAGTACCAAGAAAACTAGTGGGATGCTTACAAAAAAACGCAGAACTCGAAAAGCTGTTCCAGAAAAGTCATTTTAGAGAAACTGTAAACTGAAGTGTCTCCAAAACAATGTTCGGAGAAGACATCTGTGGTGTAAATAAGTTGGAATCAGTTTTCAGTCTTCGGCAAACCCACAAAAATGGCATTGCAGCAAACACCCCCAAGTGTGTGGCTATGATCTTCTTGAGGTCTTTTGGAAACACCCACCTCACATTAAGTAGGGATAGGGTTTGCCTACACCCCCTAGACCACCGGGTAGGTTGATGTTGTTTAGCTTGTCTTACCATGGAGAGATTTCATAAATAAAACACATACATCCAAAAACCTAAAAAATATGTACGGAGTAGTTATTTATAAAGAGGTTTTTTTTTGGGGGGGGGGG